AGCAGCAGCACCGCCAGCGACGCCAGCGGAGACGGTTACCCCGGCAACGGGCCGGGCAGCCACAGCGCCCTGCACAGCCTGGTGGCCAGCCTGAAGCAGGAGATGCACAAGCAGAAGATCGAGTACGAGGCCAGGATCAAAAGGTGGGGGGGGGGGGTTGGGAAACGGAGGGTTTTCCAGATCCGTCCGGAAGGTTTTCCATGTTTCCCTTCAGCTCTTTGAGCTCTGATCAGGACCCAGATTTAGCAAACACTGCTCTGGATAAATCAATTTGCTTTAGCTCAGCAATTAGCTTAGCAATTAGCTTATTAGCTTTTAGTTCAGACATTTTTTTTTTTTTCTGAACCTTTAAATGAGCCTATTTCACACAATTAGCAATTAGCTTAGCAATTAGCTTATTAGCTTATAGTTCAGACATTTTTTTTTGTTTCTGAACCTTTGAATTAGCCTATTTCACACGATTTTGTTGACATTGTGTCGAGTTTCTGGGTAGTTTGGGACTTGTTTGTTCCTTACTAATCTCCAGAAACCAGTAAACATAACAGAAATAATTTAGTTTTCATTAATTCATGGATTACAGGGATGGTACTGCTGCAAGTTGCGTTTATTTCACAGTATCATCATCTCTGAAAACGTCTCAAAAGCATTTCAATTGCTCTTTACTTGCTTTTAAGATTTTCAATTTGATTTTTCTGAAGCATATTTACTTTTTGTCTGGTGCAGTTTGGGACCACATTGGTACGCATTATATGAGAGGTTAATTGTGTCTAAAATAATAACTAAAATTATCCTTAACACATGGAGAATTCGTCTGAACTGAGAATACCACCCTTGTTTTTTCTATCAACCCCTTTTCTCAGCCTGGAGCAGCGGAACCTGGAGCTGGAGACGGAGATGGTGAGCCTCCACGAGGAGCTGGACCAGGAGAGGAAGAAGTACACCATGGCCGAGATCAAGCTGCGCAACGCCGAGCGGGCCAAGGACGACGCCGAGCGCCGCAACCAGATGCTGCAGAAGGAGATGGAGCAGTTCTTCTCCACCTTCAGCGACCTCACCGCCGCCGGCGGGGCTCCGGCCGCTGACCCCCGCCGACCGGACCGCAACAACCCCATCTGGATCCAGTGAAGGAGGGCCAAAGGCTGGAAACTGGTTATGGTTCATCATACGATGTGAAATGGGACTTGGAAAGTTGATGGTTGATGGTTAAATGAACAAATAGGAGGTAAAAGGCTAAAGAGAGCCACCTGTGAGCGTGTGTATGTGTGTGTGTGCACGTGTGTGTGTATGAAGATTTCACCTGGAGTGATGTCACAGTGAGTCTATCTGTATATATCCTTATTTAAACGGCTCATGGACGCCTAGCCTTCTAAGAAAACCAGAGTGGTGCTCTCTCCTCTGACCGATGAGTGGACGTGTGGTACTACTTTAAGGAAACTCCTCGGGCTAGAATAACGGTCGGGACAGTAAAATGTGAAAAACAAACAAACCCACCAACGTTGGACCTTAAGATGCATCCAAACTCCTCATGATTTTATTTTATTTTTAACATCTAACCAAAAAGAAACTCAGTTTGTGACTCTGTTTGTGTACATAGAGGGACACAACGCAGAGTCAAACAAGAGTCCTACTTAAGTGGTATTTAAGCGAAAATTATCAATGTGTGATATTTTATATGAAGATGTCTCCTTGCACTTGTATGTCTGTTTAGCCTCCGCAAACTGGTACTGAATGTTTCGTGGATTCGTGCGCGTACCATTTTAAATGGGGAAGTATGCTGTACATGTGCCTGTGCTTCTGTGCTGTTACATTTACTCATGACCAAAAAAAAAACAAACAGAGCCTGTGCTGTAAATATTTTTCTAGGTAGCTGTAGACACTCCTCGTTAGTCTGCACTGTGTTTTTACTGATATTCAGATGGATTCGGGCTCGAATGCGAATACTGAGGGACGTTTTTAGCTTGTTTGAAAACAAAAAATGGATCTTAAAATCGATTTTAAGTCTAAGAAATCCTGGAATTAGCAAAGTAAACATCTGGCTTGGATGAGCTTTTCCTCCAAAAGGTGCAGCTTTATCATGGATTTTGGGAACGTGGAAGAGAAAGAGAAGCCACCAACTCTGAGCTGTGTTCAACTGTGAAAAAGGACATTTCTGATTTGTTAACAGCCCGGCTGTTGATGGCTGGGGAGCGAGGGGGGGGGGGGGGTGTGCATGGTGGAGCATGAGGCCACACCTGAATCAGCATCAGCGTACACCTGAATGTCTGTAAAGTGACTCTGTTTTCATGCTGTGTTTTCATGTAGCCTTAAACCAAATGTCTACACGTGGGTTTGGATTCGCTTTTGGGTACAAAAACGGGACACATCTGAGACCAGACCGGGTCTGGGCGTCCGGTGGAGGTTGGCGTGTGTGCGTGTGTGTGTGTGTGTGTGTGTGTGTGTGTGTGTGTGTGTGCACAGAGCTGCTGCTGGCTGCGTTTCCTCTGGAAATGAACCCCCCCCCCGTTTCAAACCTGCTGCTGGTCATTGCAGGGACTCTGGAATGTGCACATCCTGGGAGGGGAAAAAAAAACCCCGGACAACCAAAGAAGGGAGAGGAGCCTCCGCTCCTCAGTCCGGACCCTTCACCGGGAAATAATAATAATAACAGGCTTAAGCCAGGCTGACGGTGTCACCTCGTTCTGTGAATTCCACACAAAAGGAGCGGATTATGAACGGAGGGGAAGGTGGAAAGGACTCGGATAGGGAAATATTTTCAAGACATGATACTTGATACTCAGTGGAACCTTACAGAGACATGACATTATAAATAAAGATGCATTTTCATTTGTCTCCTGATACTTCACGTTTTTTTTTGTATAGAACTGTTCACATGGTGCTTTACAATTACTTACTTTATAGAAATATATTTAAGTATATTTATTTTAAAGGAACTTTACAATGGCTGTAAGACAAATGCTATTAGCAAGAAAACATTAGGGAAAGACATTTATAAAGGAAATGTAATGCAACAGCCTATGAAAATTAAACCAATAGCTGCAGATTATTTTACAGTGATACCTATCTCCTCTCCTAAGCTGCAGCAAACTGTGTGTTTGGCCCTGGTTCACACACTATAACAGCTCTAGGGACATTAGACTCTAAAATAAATCATTTTTATGATTAAAAAACTCAGATTGTTACCTTTATTGTTTAGTTGTTAATGCAGCAAGAGTCAAAATTAGGCAGATTTTAGTGGAAGTGGTAAAAGATGTTTTAAATCCATCTCAAAAAGATGCCTGTAGGGGTGTTCACATCCTGGGGGGCATCAGACACCCTCATATGTGTGAACCCCTCCCTTTACCCAGCCTCAGGTGTTCCAGATTCCTGGAGGTTTTTCTGGTCTCTTTACTACCTGAAAATGTTTAAAAAATACCTCTTTGACGCTATTGTTGTTGAGTTTGAGGAGTTATAGTGTAATTAATGAATGAGGACTTATAACAAATGGTAAAAATCCCTAAAACTGCTTTAAACTTTCAATTAAGAAAAACAAAAACCTTTAGGTTGTGGGCACTCACAGTTGGGGGTTGCATTTCTGTAATGGAATACTGAAAGAGAAAAAATAAACCCAGGGAATTAATATGGAAGAATCTGATGAGTTTTTCAAATAAAAATTTAGAGTACAGCATGTATCCAAAAGCTTCACTCGTTTTTCTATCATGTGCAAAACTATCTTCATTCTGGGACAGAATTCTTAAAACGTTTGAGAACGTATTCAGTCTCAAGATCCCAGAGGATCCTGGAATAACTTCCCTGGGAGTGATGCCTGATCCAATTAAAGATGTTTTCCCTTCAAACTTTTTATACCTGCGTACAAAACGGCAGACACACTATGATTAGTGGACGGAGGCCTTAGAGGTATTCCTCCCCATGGAAAAGCTGCCCTACTCCCACAGGTCTAAGGCAGGGACCCCCCCCCCCCCCCCCAAGGGATTTGGGACAAATGGACCAAGTCCAGAAGAACAATGTGTTGAATTCCCTCTTAATAGAGCAATGAAAGACACAGTTCCTCCTGTTCTCACTGAGTAAAGTGTGTGTTTTGAAATGTCAATTCTACAAAAAGAGTTTAGAAAAGGATGGAAATTGTGCAGTGGATGTAAATATTCCATGAAAAGTGAACCATAAGTGCACTTGCTTGCATTTTGAAGGGATTCAGTACAGAATCTTTACCCAGAAACCAGGTTTGTGTCGGCTGAAAAGCCTGAAAACAAATGTGACGTTTCTCTGTACAATAAGAAGAGACACACACCGTTGTCCAAGATCAAAGGTTTTGTTTATTTTCAATCACATACATATACTATTTGTACATACACAGTTCCTTTAAAATGTGTTTACAGTAACAGCTTTCAGATTTTTTTTTCCTTTTTCGTTGAGCATTTGTTCTGACTTTTACTTGAAACGCTATAGGCCGAAGCTTTGAGATCAGCGTGAAACGGATACGGTTTCTTTTTTTTTCTTCTTTTTTTTCCTTTTTTTAAATTATTTCCCACCTGACAATGTCAAAAGAATGATTCGTCGAAAACAGCACGGGGTCAAAGAAAACAAGAGCGGAAAAGAACCGAAGAGGGACAACCTGACCTGGTCCGGATGGCGTAAACAGGCCGCCACTCGCCTCTGACCGGATATCTGACCATCGCCTGACCCTCGCCGAGTGCAATAGCGTGTTTATTGCATTGTTGGGTTGTTGTTATTTACAATAACTTCAGAAAAAAAGTTGTGAAAATAAATAAGCTAGGGATCACTAGTACTGAGTCCAAAGGTTTTTTTTTAAAGTACAAGACATATCCTAAAGTGTGACGAGTCGTCATTTTTTCATAGTGGCGATGATATTATGGCTAAATGACAAGTCGGTCACTTTCAAATTACAAGTAAATGGCTGAAAACACGATTTTTTTTACTCATCCCGGACGCACAAGAGATCACTTTGAGATCTTCTTGAGGAAAATGGAGGAGCAGGATTGATTGAGCTTTTC